ACGTATGAAAAAAAAAATGTTGCACATACTTTTTTGATTTATCAATGTCTACTCTACATCATATCAAATTTTTAAAAAATATAGCAAAAAAAAATGCAACCTCTGATATTGCTACATTTCGGACTGGACTATAGGCCTGAGCCTTAGGGCGGCCTTCGGAGTAGTCTGAAAATAGCAAATTGTGATGTGATGATAGTGTAAAGAATACTTGCATTAACTAATATACTAATATTTATGATAAAGATGAAGAACTGTTATTTAATTATAGCTTCCTAAAAATTTAGACGATTCCAAAAAGCCGTGTCTATTTGGACGTTATGTTTGTCGATTGATCTTCACTAAGGACTTGCGTAGTTAGACCCACGAAGTGGCTTATTAACATTAAAGGCCGGACAACATAACACACACCCAACGAACACACAACTTATAAGTATCGTATTTATAATACTGGTGTTAGCCGACCACTTGCAATGTTTGAAATGTGCCCACTAAAGTAAAAAAGGGACTCTTCAGAACTACGTTAACATTCTACCAAATCCAAATTACGATGGACAATAAATACAATTTAAAATCCAAATAAATGTCAAATAAGACTACTAATTTTTATCGTCGCAAACACGAATGGTACGTAGCTTTATTAACCGGGTTAACCTCTTGGTGAAATAATGTCCGGTAATGTATATTTCCTGTCCAAGCTAACAGTAAATTTATTTCGTTAATTATTTTTGGTTATATAAATTCGGTTTTTCTTTTTAAAACCCATATATTACCTAAAACTTTTCTTCCCATTTCATTCACCCTGTGTTGTGGTTAATATCGTCCAACAGTGCATGATATGGTCTTGGTATCTAGCAGTTGATATGCAGTTCTTCATCATCACTCCACCCCTTCTGATTCTATTGTTTAAGTAAGTTTAATGCCTAGCACGTACAATTTAGCACACAGCATTCACACAGACACACCATTACACGCACGCACATCACACCACATGCACACACAAAGCCACAGGTCTGCTCGCTCACACAAACAGGCAGAAACTGTCAAAATGTCATAATTGTTAATTTTGGTATATAGACAGACCAATAATATTATTCCGTAATTTGATTTTATTATCTCATAATATATACAGTATATATATATTATTATTATTATTAAATAATAATAATAATAATAATAATAATAATAATAATAATAATAATAATATCACATACATATACACACGATTCAAGTTTGATTGTACATTTTATTAAGAGATAGATTCATGACACTTTTCGGATAAATTTGCATATTGTAATGAGTAATGTCTACGAAATGATGTTTGACCTACCTGACGTGTTTTAAGTACTGAATGCTCAGTACATTTCCAAATATTTGTTCGCAAGTATTTGGTAATGTACTGAGCATTCAGTACTTAAGCACGAATGATAGGGCAAACATCATTTCGTATTTTATCTCCTGACGCAAAAACGCCATATCGGAATAATAAAATGTATTTTAAAACGTATTGTTGAATCACGTACAGTATTACTTTTTGACGATTTATAAAGACCTATTGTTCTGATTATACAGACGACCCAGATTGGGCATCGCAGCGACCGCGGTTGTATGCGTTATCTCATTCATAACTACTGCGTCGCTCACGGGCTATTGGGGACTGAAGGCTGGCTTGAATTCTGGGTAAGATTCATTTATGTATTAGCGTTAAGTAATGTTTTTTAGAATAAATTATCAACCACATTTTTAATGTTATTAAAATGTTAATGCAGAACTGATCATATTCTTTTGATGCGATTCAATTCATATAAATGTATCAAATAAAATAATTAAATATATAAACAAATATTTTATAATAATCTTTGTAATTAAATATTATAATTTCTCTGAAAATAAAGGTTTTACAATAACCGAAGCTTAGAGTTTCCAGACGCTCAGAGGATCTACAACAAGCCCTACACCCGCATCTCAACTTACCTCGTCGGCATTTTAACAGGATATGTCATGTTCGCATACGAAAGCCGAAGGCCTAGAATTCCAAAGGTCACAACATATATATTTTATAAACTTATATAATAAATATAAACTAATAATTTTATAATTTATAAAACTAATAAAATATAAGTCTATATATTTATCCGATACTGGTATAAGCCCTACATAAATTCATACATAAGCTATTTCTGCATGTCATATTGATATATATTATATACG